ACACTTTTCATGAGAACCAAATACAAAGAAAAGATAACTAGATCATGAAAACCAGCCTAGACTGATTGCCAAGCGAAACTAAAAAAGCCAAGTGTGTCCTAAGGGGCAGATGAAGAGGGATATTTGCGCACAAGTGAATATAATCGACTCGTTTGCAAATCAAATTCAGTTCTCCGACATCGCATTCTGAGCCACTATTCATTATACCCTCGTATATATATATATATATATATATATATATATATATATATATATATATTATTTATTTATAAAAAATTATAACATAAACAAATTATAAAATCACTACAAAAATAGCTATTTTGTTTCAACACCTCCGGCGTCTTATCAAGTGATGATGTTGAATGTAAAATAAATGGTTTTAAAAGTTTCAAATTAATTAACGATCCTTCACAAGGGGAAAACATTGTTACAAAAGCTAGAATGACCAATCAAAATATAAGTATAGGAAAATTCAAAAAGCTTGATAACGAAGTCATGTTATAATAGCTATTCAGATCTTTAAAATAGGGGTAATATTAAAAAAAGAATTTATTCTAACCAATAATTATCAAATTATATAATAAAATTTGATATTAAAATTAAAAGTGAAAATTGCCAATTTTAAAATCCAAATTTAATCACTATTAAGTTTAAAATTATAAAATTACTGAGGAGAAAAGAATAAATACATATGTTATTCAATTTATTTCTTCATTGAAATTACGTTAGAATAGGCGCTTATCTGTCATCCGGTCATCTGACAATATGTATACATTTTAATCCCAAGTGTGTGAATGGGGTCCTAACCTCACGCGTAAAACAACCCAAACAGACTCAGATTATAATACATAAGCACCCAGACATATTTAGATATATATACACACAAAAAGTGACGAGACAGGGAACATCTTGTGTGTATATATATATATATATATATATATATATATATATATATATATATATAATGTTAGCAGCATATATTTTATATATAAAAAAAAATAATCATATATAGAATCAATCAGCAATATTAATGCGATTAATGGCGAAATCACGTCGCTAATAGAACATAGTGTATGCATTAAAATACTGTTAATCCATTGAATGACTATGTATGATTATATTTTATATATATATATATATATATATATATATATATATATATATAGGGCAGTATTCTATATTATTTAAATTATTCGAACTATTGTCCTCATCTATGCCGCCATATTTATTACAACATAGAGGCCAGAGTATGAAAGTGTCATCTACGTATCTCAACTATAGAGTGGGCTTTAGTGATGTGGATTCTAATGCCATTTTTTTTCAAGTATTCCATCTATATGATTGCCATTGCTGGTGATAATGGGGATCCCGTTGCTAAGACTTCATCCTGTCGAGGTATGTCTGATCCCATTCCGAAGTGTTTATGTATATGCTGTGGCCTTGTTAGGACCAGAAATAAAAACACAAGACGAGAACCGAGTTAAAGAAATATATTAACAGAAACAGTAATATAAACATATACAAACCAGAGTGTTACAGCAAGAATGTTCTGTCCGAGCTGACTGCTGGAAACAACCCTCTCTAAAAGGCAGTACCTGCTCCTATTTATATCTGGGAGAGTCCATGCGTGCGTGGGTAAATTACCATAACAGTACAGAAAGAGACCTGGCACGTCAGATCAGATTTCTGGATAGGAATGTAGGTTCTTTTCATCTATTCATATTTTCTACGATTTTTTTTCAACATTCAGGCCGATAAATGTAATTAATACTGTTTAATTAAAATACAGCATTTGCTTAAATAAATTGTGTCTATAAAAATAACATATAAACAGAAAATATATGGAATAACTGCCAAACTTAATCCATTTCATAATATATATATATGTGTGTGTGTGTGTGTGTGTGAGAGAGAGAGTGTGTGTGTGAGTGTATGTGTATGTAATTATATATATATATATATATATATATATATAATAAAAAAGTATATATATATATACTTTTTTCTATTAATCCATTACGTCCTTTCATCTATATATTTTAAAATTATTTTTAAAAACATTTTTCTTCCTTTTTTAATTCCTATATTAATATTTCGTTCTTCATATAGCCCCCAAATTAATGTCATAAAGTTTAATTTTATAAAACTTTAAAATAAATATCTTCCACCCTTTCCTTGACGCTTGACTTGTGCCTTTCGTCTGACTGAAACATTGAAATCGATAAATTGTGTATTAGTTTTTCTACCGTTTTGGCTTTTTTAGCTTTCACAATTGAATTTTTATTTCTGATACGAATTCAGTCCACAGCGGAACAATGTGTCGCGGTGGACGAAACAAAGGGTTCAGTTCGAAATTTTCAATCACCTGAAGAAGGCCGAAGCGTACAATGTCTGAAACGTCGGGAAACGGGTCCAAACATGAAGACAATAGTCTAAGTAATGTAAATAGTGTAAATAATTACAATACCTAATCTCAGATATTGGCTTATTTAGTTAGATTCCTGACATATCAACCCGTTTTGGAATTATTTAATGTCGACTTTTAGATTACGGTGCTTATAGACGAGTTGATGAACGTTTAAAATTCTGACCCCTTTTAATGGAAAGTGGCTGAGAACCATACGACGTTTGACCCAAGATTTGTTTTAAATTGGGTAGATGAAACCGTTTCGACGCCGTCAACTGTTGTGCTAAATGGTATATAGAAGCTCTTCAGGCCGGGTTGCTTATCTCTCTAAATGTCTGTCTTCTTATCAGTCTGATTTTGCAATGGCCTCCTTTTCAAACCACATAGATGAGGTAAGCGAACTGATACCTGATAATCCTCTGTGTTAGATTTTCTGAATACTTTTGGTCAAAGATCGCAATCTTAAACTTGATAAAAAAAGAAAACAAAAAAAAACAACAGATAAGCCGTTGCTGGTGGCAGGAGTCCGGTAAAGCATTGGCGAACTACGTTCGTGTCTAAAAACAAAACGGCTTAGGTAGGATTGTGAACTTCAACATTGGAGGACAACTAGCAAGGTGACATAGACTTTTTATTTGACCGACACTTCCTTCATCAGCTTTCTTTTTGGCGAATTTAAGCCTGCTACTAGATTGGCAGTTAGGTCTCACCATTTTTCTGTTGAAATAGCTAGATTTAGCCGCAGTTTCTACTCTAATAGTTTCTTCTTTTCTATGTCTAACCTGCCGAATTCTATTCTGATTTCTTGCGTCTCTGCCATCTACGACCTTCATAAATTCAAATGCAACGCCAATTACAATCTTGTCTTCCTGATATCTGTTCTTTTATTGTCCTTTCTCCTCACAAGAGCCTACTCATTTTCGTTCACTTCCAATAACTAGTCGCGTCTTAGGAGCATTATCACCTTGCTCGGGGTGAAACAATTTAAAACTCTTTTCATCATTATTATTTTTACTTTCTTATTGCAGCGTACAATGGATCGGTTTATCTCAATTCACTCGCTAAAAATGCCCATTCCCTAGTGAGGAGGAGGTGAGGAGTTGTCCTGAAAAAAAAAGGGCAATGACTGAGATTCTTAAGTGATTTTGCTATCTGCCACACGTGGAAACAACACCTTTTTGCATAGGGTACCCAATGAGGATAGAAATAAATATTCAGTATAATGGTCAACCAGAGTCTCCTCATTAACCATCACCCGATGCTAAAGATGCCTCGTTTACCTCTGGCACTAGCGGGAAATAAGTAACCATTTCGGCCATCGTCCTGGGTGTAACGATAAACTACATCCGTTTCCTGGGTAAGACGATAAACGACATCTAACAGCAAGGCCTTTGATCCGTAGGTTTTGAGGAGCGTGGAACCACCTCTTAATTGCTGGTATTCCTAGGTTCACCCTGACCCGGGGTGGTAACACCTGTTTGGGTCCCAGCTATGGGCAAATATTTAACACCCCAAAAGGGATCAAATCACTATGAAAGTATAAAAATAGATTTTAACACCAGTAATATATTTTTGTAAAAAAAAGAAAAAAATATTACTGGCAATAAAAATCTTGTCGGCATTAAATAACCCATTGAGGTTGATATGCCGTAAAAGAAAACAAACCAAACCAAACCAAACCACTTCAGTCACAATATAAACTATCCTAAAATGTGTGAATATTATAAAAAATTAATATGGTGTACAGTTTAAATAGCTTTTATTTAAATACTAGCAGGAGAGCCCGGCGTTGCCCGGGGATGTAACAGTAAGAGATAGATCAAGTATCGACCATCATAAAGACTGAAAAATAAATTTGACAAAGATTATTGTTTAAGGTTGACGGACACGCATGTCTTAATTAGTTTTTTTTTGGGGGGTGGGGTGTTTTTTTGGGTTTTTTTTTTTTACGAATTGGTCAAAACCAAACTCAAACAAAATTATGAGTCTACCGATTGAATAGAATTTTATTATAAACAATTGTTTTTTCAATGCAATTTTTAAAGCATTCTGTATGTGAAAATAAAGAAAAAAGTGTGCAAGACAATAAGAAACACTACCTGCCAAAGACAGTGAACTTTTGTTGAAATCGGTTGAAAAATGTAGGAAATCTGATCCCATATATAAACGAACACACACACACACACACACACAAACAACCTGGGTTTTATAATAAGTATAACTCGATATGAGTTGTCCCCCTTTCATTCTGTCGACAGTGATGCCTCTTAATCGTGTTTTCAAATTGATTTCGTGCAAAAACAATTGTGTCTTTCCAATTTTTGGCGCTGTCAGAACCACCGCATGGTAATTTTACGTAGCCCTGTGAAGTTCTGTTGAAATCGGTTGAAAAATGTAGGAAATCCAATCCAATATGAACAGACACACACACACAACCTGGGTTTTATAATAAGTATGATTATGTATTGAAACAGGTTGTGTTCTGGTGAAGGACTGGTTTAGTGTTAGTTGCAAAAAATAAAAACAAAAATAAAAATATTTATAAAGGAAAAGCTAGCCAAATACAAAAGACTACTTTACTTTGCTTGGTGTC